CCCTTATCATATATATGATATGAAATATTTTCTCCCATTCTTTGAGTTGTCTTTTCACATTATTGATAATGTCCTTTGAAGTAGAAAAATTACTTTTTATTTTGATGAAGCCCAATTTATCTATTTTTTCTTTTTTTCATGAGGCACTAAAAAGCTGATCAGATATTACATGTTTGGGTGGGAATAGTTGAGTGGTGGTCCGCACTTTAGGGTATGAAACAGGAAACATTTCATTTGGGGACCAAAAGTCAGTATCTAAAAGTCTTTTCTCTTGGGACCACATTGTTCTTCAGAAAGGAATAAGGATGTGAGGTGGCAAGTGGGATAGAAGTTATTAAAAAGTTAACCTGTAGCACTTTGAGAGCTCCTTGGTTTGGGAGAAGGAGGCCTGATAAGTACATAGAATTTTTTAACCCTCTTCTCACTAAGGTCTCAGACCTGCCCATAGTTATGCAGGTGTCCCTTAGTCCAGAGCCCTTTTTGTTTAACCTCTACAGATATTATACTTCCCATTTTCTGACACTATGGGAAAAGGGAAGGCACCTCGCTTCACTGACTGGGAAAGGGATTCTCGGATACAAATACTCCTTATATAAATTTTCAGCCAACGTTGTTTTTAGTCTCTCCCTGGATCCTTAATCTGAATCATTACTTTAGCTAGACTTGATTTTCTTCTTATTAACTTTTCCCTCCTTCTTTTCATTTGAGAGCAGGAAAAAATGAAAATTGTCAGTTACCAACTGACTGTATGCTTTGCATCTTCCAAGATTTTAGTAACTTGTCTCCCCTGCTGTTCACTCTTCTTCTATTATTTTTGTCTTTACAGGTTCATTTATTTTAGCCTCTTGCTCTCTATCATTTAAATAAGGCTTCAGGGGGGAATTGGGATAAACTGGTCTGCTCAAACCAGAATGAAATGCAGTTCTTATTATCAGTCGTCTTATCCCAGCTTCCTCATACTTGAATCATTTATGTTGCTCATCTCTTGGTTTGCTTGATTTCATCAAATATTGTCCTGTAAAGAAGAGCTCATAGGTGTGTTTTTTAAAAATTCTTACATGCTTGAGAAATACAATTTAGCTGGGTATAAAATTCTTCAGTCAACTTTCTTTTCCTCAAAGATTTGTTGACATTGAATATTACTTTAACCCTTCCATCACAGTTTCTCCATTCATCTATAAGTTGGTTGAATTTCATCATTCAGTAGTCTTTTTTCAATAAACACTCCTGAATGCTAATGTAATGTTTTATGAATTCTTTCCTGTTTGACAGTTATCTTTGTACATGAGCAACATCTTGGCTAGGTATAAAATTATTGAGCCATAATTTCTTTCCCTCAAAATCTTATAGATATTTCCATTATGTTTTGGTATTATATTAAATGTTGCTCAGGGGGAGTCTGAAGCCTGTTTTCTTCACCTGTAGGTAACTTGTTTTCTATCCTTGAAATTCATTATCTTTATTAGGTTATGTCTTGATTATGATAATTATGCATTACTTTCCCCTGGAACTCAGTGTACCCTTTCAATCTGTTCTATGCAGATATTTGCAAGTATGTCATTTATTTATTTATATATGGTAAGTATAGTTTGTTTCAAAATCTGTCTGGTAATTCCAATAGCTGAAGTCTGTGTGAGCCTATGCCTGCTGTATTTTGTTTCTTCTTCTTTTTTATGCTGTCTTTGTTTCTTTGTGAAACTCACATGGTTGATTGATCTTGAAAATTTATTTGTGGAGTGTCCACAAAACCTAGGTTGCATGTTAGATTCTTCAAAATGGATTTTCACTTGTTTCAGCCAGGATATTGGAAACACTATCAGTAGTGGACCACCACAAATTAAGTTTATGGCTGGAGCTTCCTTGCATCTCAACCTATGCATATACAAAATACAAATACACATGAAGGCCAGGTGCAGTGGCACACACCTGTAGTCCCAGCTACTTGGGAGGCTGAGGCAGGAGGATTTCTTGAGCCTAGGGGTTGGAGACCAGTCTGGGCAACAGAGCAAGACCCCGTCTCAAAATAAAATACATATGGAGACAAATCTGTAGCTACAACTTCCCAGGCATATATTTTTTTGCTTTTGC